GGGCGCCTCGGGGGGCCGGGCGCCTCGGGGGGCGGCAGAAGTGAGCGGTGAAGGAGGGGATGGGAGAAGCTCGGAGCGGTGAGACACCGCCGCGTTGGGTTGCCGGAAGAGCTTGTCTTTGTGTTGGCTACCAGCGGTAGAAAAAAAACCAGTCATACAGTAACTGTACTGTAAAGCCTGGCGGGATGTTTGCTTGGTACAGGACTACTCGCATCTTCTGAAGGAAGCAGTCGCTCAAGCAAGTCTTGAAAAACACAGGTTTTGGGTCCAGGCTGTAAGCATTTCACTTTGTAAGTCGTTCTTACCTTCGTTTCATAGGCTACCAGGTGACAGGCGTCTTTATGAAGAACTGGGACCCTCTGGACGAGCAAGGAGCTTGCTCCATCGACAGAGATTGCGAAGATGCTTACCGGGTTTGTCAGAAGCTCGATCTTCCTTTTCACCAGGTTTCCTACGTGAAGGAATACTGGAATGAAGTATTCAGGTAGAAACACGTTTCAAATAGATGGTCTTTCAGCGTATTAGCATAGTGCTGTGTTATTGTGAAAAGTAAGGATGGACAGATAACGGGCAACAGCAATTTATTGCGGTATTGTCGGTGCTAAGAGAAAGTACTGGAGCCTGTTAAATATCGGAGAATTATTTTTTCTCTCATATTTAAGATTAGAATTTATATGTTGGTTGTAATATGTTTGTTATTTCTGAGTAGGAGATTTCTCCCTAGTTATGATGACTGTGTAGCAGTTGCTTTGGTGCAACTCATTTCTTCTGCTTCCCATGTGCTGGCCCAACCATATTGCAACTTGAGAAAAAAGTATTTAATGGGGTGCTGTTATTATCTGCGTGTGTAACTTACGCAGTGTGTTTTACATTGATACATACTGAACCCATTTTATCACAGTGATCATGAACTAGCCTTGCTTCTTTAAACTTGTAACAAATTTGAAACTGTTCTCTAAAGAGGGTGTTCAGATCTTCTGTGAATTTGTTCCACTTTAAGGGAGGAAAATTCTGCATAGGAAAAGCTAAGAGTTTTTCCTGGGAGGCAGAAGAAGGAGGGAAATATTGGTATAACAACAGAATTTATCTTTTATGCACTCAACATAAGTACAAAAAAGATGTTCCCTGATCTTCATCATCCCCCTTTAAGTAGTGCTGTTGTTACCTCATCTTAGAAGAAACTGAGGAATAGCGTAGTCACGCTACTTCTACTTCATGTTGAAATGACATCGAGTTGAGCACTAAACGTTTGTACAGTCAGTGAAGAAAACGGCCCTGTTCTGGGAAAGTTCGCTGCATTTTTTCCCTCCTGGTGTGAGAGAATGAATAAATGTTATCAGAACTCTTGAGGGGAGCGGGGTGTCTGTAAGTGACGGTGAATCAAAGATCATAGAAGATCAGCTTTTCTTTTGCTTCTCATCATTTGTTAGTACAGTGTTCCCAAACAATCTGTTGCAAGTGTCTTGGTTTGTTTCAGAATCCTTTTTTCTTTACTGCCATCACTGACCTTGAATTTAGTCCTCCTCTGGATCTCTTTTTAAAGGGTTATTAATCAAAAAAACATCTTTTATCCAGAGGACTATTCCAGGTCTTGTCTTTCCCATAGTTTGTGCAAAGTCTGTTTCAGATCTTTGTGTCAGAGAGAGGTTCAGTAGGCATCCTTCATTGCCTTTTCTCCGGTTCTGTACTTTACTTGAAGTTCTGAACTGATGTGAGCCTGGCTTTATGCTGAGTCTTTTATAAAGCTTGCAGTGTGCTCTTGCAGTATTTACAAAGGAGTATTGCGTTATTGTAAGAGTACAGCGCTGAGCCAGCAAGAGGGAGGCAGCTCTGGGTAGACCCAGGTGATTTAATTATTAGTGTGAATTATTGAATTCAGAGGTGTTAAAAAGGAGTTAGACAAAAGATATGTTGCTTTATTTTCTATTTATGAGTGTAATGTATAACACGGTAAGGAAAAAGCAATTGATTCAGATGGTGAAAAGTAAAACCAAATACTAGGGTTGCTGGTGTTCTTTTAAATCCAGTCTATGCCCTCACTTCCTCTTGACTTCAGTGACTGCTGAGGACAAGCAAAATAATGCAGTGAGCAGGCCTTTTGATATCTCAGTGCATCACTGTATACTGGTTTAATTTCATTAGTTATTATTTCAATGTTTTCAAGCAAATAGTGCTAAGCACTTTAATTACGCGACAGTGTAAAATTACAACATGACTTTGAGAAACTACTTGATTTCTTGAAGGAAAAAAAAAAAGACAGGGAAAAGTCTATAAAATTAAGCCCCATGACTGCTTATGGTGGCACTACTGCAGATTAAGTTATTGTCCATTCAGCTGAGACACAGTAGCTCCTGGGGTGTACTCCACTGCACTGTCACTTTGAAAAATTACACAGGGTTGTTTAATTCTGAAAGAAAGTATTTCGTAAGAGATGAGTAGGTTGTGCACAGTGGGCAGCCATGTCTCCCCTGAGGGAGTATTAATTTAATAAAACATGGTTACAAGAGTGTGAGTGATCATTTGACCATGTTCTCAGTGCACTTTGGAGAAAATCTTCCAAGTGTTGTTTTTTACTGGTTAAAATCTAATGGGTATTTTATTCCTTACATAAAATGCTTAGTATGACTGGGTCTCAAGTTCTCATGTTTAAACAGATCATTCAGTCTCGGATAGTACTATGCAGTGTTAATAATGCTGATATACATTTGAATCTTTATTTTACAGTGACCTCTTAAAAGAGTATGAATTGGGAAGGACTCCTAATCCTGATATTGTGTGTAACAAGCACATCAAATTCAACTACTTTCTTCATTATGCTATGGATAACCTTGGTAAGGCATTTTCAAGTGTGTCAGTACAGAGTGTGTGCTGTGGAAATGCGTAAAGGGTACAAACTCTTGAAAAGGTGGGGAAAAACAAGTACATATGCATGCCTAATCCACATATATCTGTGGCAGTATTTCAATATCTGCAAAGTATTTGGTTTTAAGTTTGCTTTTACATATAGAATCATAGAATGGTTCAGGTTGGAAAGGACCTTTAAAGGTCATCTAGTCCAACCCCCCTGCCGTGGGCAGGGACATCTTCAACTAGATCAGGTTGCTCATATGTAGAACAGATTTAATTCAGGGACATGCATTGACCTGAGCATTAAGTTTTACGTTCTTAGGTGGTCCTTAAAGTACAAAAGCACAAGTGCTGGCATGCTGATGAATAGTTTACATTATTTAATTAGCAGGAGTATGATTATTGTCTGTATAAGACTTCTCTATAGGTTTTCTTCCTTCATTGCTTTCTGCTTTTCTTACTGGATGTTTATAATCCTGTTTTAAACTGTGAATTTCAAGTATGTGCCTTTGTGTTTTGGTGTTTTTTTTTCTTGATAGGAGCAGATGCAATTGCTACTGGGCATTATGCTAGGACCTCACTAGAGGATGAGGAAGTGTTTCAACAGAAACATATTAAAAGACCACAAAGGCTTTTCAGAAACCGTTTTGAAGTTAGAAATAGTAAGTGGTTTTTTCATTTCATATTTCATCCTAGATATGAAAGAGAAATTTAAACTATATTTGCTGTCACAGAATCAGGGAAATTTGTTGCCTTACACACAAGGATTACCATTTAAACCCCAGCCTTTGTAGAAGGTTTATTGTGCAAAACAGGGGATTTGCATTACTGAGAATTACCCTGACTAGTCAAATATTACATTTTCTGTTTTAAGTGTTCTAATCCAGGTGCAGAGGTAAGAATAAACATTTCAGTAGTAATCAACATTCTGGAGGAGCTGTAATGTGGGTTAAGGAGACAGGGCTATCTTCTGTACCCTGGAGAGGTATTTCAAGAAATCTTTATCAAGTATTTCCATGACTTACATAAAATTTTCTTTTTTAATATTTCTTCTATTTTAGGGAATGCATTCTTTGGCTATGCAGTATATAGTATAGGTAGAACTCATCATGGGGATATGCTTAAGTGGAATTTTAGAATTAAGGCTGTGAAACATGAAACTTAATAACATACTTTTATACAGTAATTGGACTGTATATTATTTTACTGGAAAGAATCAGGTTCTCATTCAGTAATTCAACTATTCTGCCTTATTTCTCTGTTCTCCCATAGAAGCCTGGTTTTCCCAGGTAGGTCAAGGTTCTGCCTACGCTGCAGTTGAAAAGTGCAAGTGCAGCATGTGCAGACATTTTTAAGGCTACGATTCTCAGGTCAACAAAGGTACTGTTAGCAGCAGTGCAGGTCTTGCTTTTCACTTTAATAGTCTGCCTGCAGCTGGACATAATCAGAGGTTGATCTCAGCACCACAGTGGTTCTCTTGTTATCAGTACCAAAGCCAGCTTGATGAATGCTGTTTTGGGTATGTCTCTGCATGGCACTATCACAGCTTGGATGGCGATGTAGAGAATTTCCCAAATAGCTCTGCAGTGAGCCATAATGCGGTAAAGTAACTCAGAGAAGCTCTGATGTATAATGAGAAGCATGCTATACCCAAAGGGAAAGAAACTTGCAAACTACCACTATGCAAAGCTGACACGGTGATGTTTTTGTGTTACAGCTTCCCCGCTTTCATTTGTTTGTTCTGGACTTAAAGGGGTTTATTTGTTTCTTTGTTTTAATTTTATTTCTGGAAAATTGGAATGGCCCCAGTGGGACCAACGGTCTATACTTGTGACAGACTGTGATTCACAGTTGTAGTATTTTGTGATGTTCTAAACAGGCTTCCTGCCCCGTTACTGAGATTTTGTATTATTAGTTGTGACTGAACTATTGGCCTGTAGTTAGTGTTCGTTTGAGTCAAGAAACATGAGTAGAGTTTCTACAACAGAAGAGCTATTAGCTCTTCAAGAGAGTGGACAGAACATGACTGAAAAAGTATACCAATTTTATTTCATCTGGGCAATCAGAAGACTTCATCTATTTTAAAGAAAAAAGACAAACTGTCCTCTCTGAGCATTGGGAATAATTCTGCTGATCGTTCAAATCATTCATTTATAGCAGTGTGATTTCAGGGCAAAACTGAGTGTCTTTTTGAAGAACAGTATACTCCAAGACATTTGAATCTTCATTCTCTCTTTCACATGAAATGTGAAAGTTGTTTCCGTTTTTCATATTGTAGATGTTCTTGCCAATGACGCATGCAGTATTGTAATAGATGAGGCAGTGTAAGACTTTGTAAGATTCTGCATTGTACAAAATCAGAATCTTTCTGGATCTTTTTAGTGGTGAGAAAATACCCAAACATTTTCAATTAGATTTTGAAAAACCTGAAAAATACTGTCTTTAACATGTGTTTGGAAATGATAAAACTAAAATGTTGATTGTCAAAACAAAATACTGAAGGAATTTGAACTATTAAAGGGGGTTGTGTTGAGATGCTTTATGTGTTCTGCACTTTGCAGCTGTGAAACTCCTTCAAGGGGCTGACCTCTTTAAGGACCAGACCTTCTTTCTAAGTCAGATCTCGCAGGATGCTTTGAGGAAAACGATTTTCCCTTTAGGGGATTTAACAAAAAGTTTTGTAAAGAAGATAGCAGCAGAACACGGCCTTCATCATGTGCTAAAGAAAAAAGAGGCATGGTAACACTTAAACTCTTCTGATTTGTATTTCTCTCTAAAATTGACTTTCCTGAACTTCTTGAACTTTAATCTGTGACAACTCGTGTGTTTCTGAGCACCATAATAGAATAGGTTGGGAAGCAGTTTTATAGCTGTCTACTTGCTTAAAAGTACTTTTATGAGCTTGTGGTTAGCTTGTGTGTTTTAGCTTGCAGATAATTTTTCTACCTTTGTATCTCAGAAGAGCTAAGGTGAATGTGTTAGGATGCTGTGAGCCTTAAGGGAGGCATTCTTTGTCGCAGCAGTTGAGAAGCCTTTGGTCTTTATTTTCCATAGTTTTTAAAGGCTTCCTCACTATAATTGTTTTTCAGTATGTCTTTATAGAAATTGGATCATACTAGTTTTCCACAGTTACTCTTTAAAAAAAAAAAAAAGTTATGTTTCTCTGAGAACTAACACTTCATGAGTTGATACTAAAAAAATGTAGTGCAGGACTGTCATGGTTTAACCCCAGTCAGCAACCAAGCACCACACAGCTGCTCGCTCACTCCCCCCGCAGTGGGGTGGGGAGAGAATCAGAAGAGCAAAAGAGAGAAAACTTGTGGGTTGAGATAAGAACGGTTTAATACTTGAAATGTAATAGTAATAGTAATTGTAATGGAAAGTAAAACAACGGGGGAGAGAGAGAAACAAAACCTTGGGGGGGGCAGAACAAGTGATCTAACTACTGACCACCCACTGACCGACACCCAGCCCGTCCCCGAGCAGTGATTGCTGCCCCCCCGGCCAACTCCCCCAGCTTTATATACTGAGCATGACGTCACATGGTATGGAATATCCCTCTGGCCAGTTTGGGTCAGCTGTCCTGGCTGTGCCCCCTCCCAGCTTCTTGTGCACCTCCAGCCTTCTCAGTCGGTAGAGCATGGGAAGCTGAAAAGTCCTTGACTAGTGTAAGCACTGCTCAGCAACAACTAAAACATCAGTGCGTTATCAACATTATTCTCATATTAAATCCAAAACACAGCACTGTACCAGCTGCTAGGAGGGAAATTAACTCTATCCCAGCTGAAACCAGGACAGGGCAGTAATCGTATTGCTGGTGCCGTCTTGGTCACTTTTAATGTTTATATTCGTCCACTGTAAATGGGTATTTGAAGAACGTAGACAGTAACTGAAAGGAAAAGGAAAGCCTATTTGTTTTTGAAAGTTTTTTTCAAGAGATATACCACTACTGTATAATGTATTACTTTCATACTTTAATCTGAAAGAGACTTCTGTTTTTAATATACATACAATATAGTCACGAAGGTTAATGTATTTATTTATTGAACTTGTGTTCTATTATTATTTCTCTTCTGTGCTTACGGCTCTCACTGATATTGTATAGAATTAGTTTACCTATGTGGGTGCAGCTGTTGTGGTTTTGTTTATTTTATGAGATGCCTAGCACAGTTTGGGATGCATAGTGGGGGGGGGAATCCATCTTGGACAGATTATTAGTAGACATTATTTCAAATGTTTTTCTCTGCTTTTATGGATTCAATACCACGTTTGCTTTTCAGAGTATGGGAGTCTGTTTCATTGGTGAAAGAAACTTTGAAAATTTCCTTCTTGAGGTGAGCAACATTAAGTCTATGACAATCTTTATGTTCTGTTCTGGTTTTTGGTAGTAATTTATAAAACTGTCTACAGAAAAATCTCCAACAGCTTGTGGCTCACACTAAGTAGCAATGTCCCATCTCTTTTTGCAGTCCCAAGCCTACCCAGAAGCTAACGCCAACAGCCTGTAGGAAGTATCTTGCCCCTCCACCAGCGAACAGTCAGTCACTTTCTGTAGCAAAAGGAGTGCGTGAACTTGCACTCCTGTGCCTGCCAGGCTCTGACAAGTACCTGTTGGGTTGTGATGTGAGAGGGGCAAATGGCTGAATCCTGCTGTCCCCTGGCATAAGTGAGGATGGGGGGAGTGAAGCCCAGAATTACTGCTGATAGGGACTGCCCTTCCTACTTTTCTCTCAAAAAGAAGCATCAGGGAAGAGGCAGGAAGCTGCTTGGACAGAGTTTGCTTCTTGAAAAGTTATTTTCCAACTTCAAGAGAATGTAGTGACAGAACCTGAAATATACCGTGAGGTTTTTTGGGCCATCTTCTGACTTAAACAATCTCTTCCTATTTGGTAGTATTTAGAACCTCAACCAGGTAACTTTGTTTCCATTGAAGATAAGAAGGTGATGGGAACACACAAAGGTAATTGGCTAACCCACCTTAATAACTGCTTTTAGATAAATGGAACAATACTGCTTATATTTGGAGGGACAAATTTTGTGGAATTCCAAACCAGCCTACAGGTTTTTCCCAGTTTGATGGAAAACTTGCTTTATATGATAGTAGAGCCTTGAACTACAACTGATTCTTGACTATTTGTTCCATGTTGCAAGAAAGTAAATGATAATTACTAGGTTTACTCTCTTGATACTAAGTGGTTGTTAATTTAATACTGAGAGACCATTGTTCATTTAATTCTTTCAGAATAACTGTGTTTCAGTTCCAGATTCTTTAGTACCTAAACTTTGCAGGAAAAATACACCGTGCACCTCAGTGATGCACAGTAGGACATCACCAAACATGGGCAGCTTACCTTGTCCTTTCCTTCTGTGTGTCCTTCCTTTGCTCTCCTCAGTTCTAGCTGCCAGAACTGAGTTCCTCTCCCAAGTAATTTATGGAAGTAGGATGTTCTACTGGTACATAAAAGTAAGGGAAGCTGGTAAGACTGAGTGCTAGCAAAACCACAAATTGAAGCTGAAATAAAGAAATGTTTGTCTTGTATAAACCCTAAGGATACCACAGTTGAAATGGATTAGTTTGAAATCACGTGCTTCAAGTACAGATGAAAACTTTCGAGTAGATGTTAGTTTAGTTTGTAATTGGCACACTTCTCTAAGACAACTTGGTTCGTTATTCTTTGTTTAGTGGTAAAGTTTTGGGGAAATGATTTTAACATACTTTTCTGAAAGTAGAAGATTAAAAGTTGCTAGCACCATTACATTTTGTATTTCTTTAGGTTGGTTCCTCTACACAATAGGCCAGAGGGCTAGACTAGCAGGCCTGAAGGATGCTTGGTTCGTTGTAGACAAAGATGTCAGCACTGGAGATGTCTTTGTGGTGAGTTAATTAAGACTGGTACTGCAAATGACTAATGCAAGCATTTTGTGACTCCTGCTGTACGGAATGTGATTCTAACCTGGGCAGAATTCTTGGCTTTCCTCTTGGGGGAAACAAGAACCAACTAGTGCAGCATCAGCAGATTTGAAACATCTTGTCCAAACTGGCTTTTCTTGAGTAGAAAATTGTTTTAGATTTTGGCATAGAACTTTTCCAAACAAAGGGCAAATACTGAAAAGAATCAGCCAATCTACTGAGCTCTCATTTTCTACTCTAAAACATGAGTTTTTTATTGTAGTTATTATGACACAGTATATAAAATGTGTATTATCTTGGTTTACTATGTATTGCTACTTTCTTTTTCTAGTAAAAGAAGTAGTAGACAGTAATAAGTTTTATCATTTTAAAAACTGAGGCAGAATATATATAATACTGCAAATAATTGGTGTGTTAATGACTAATCATAGGAGATGACTGGGAGTTCTGCAGCTTGCTAGCATTGTTAATGTTTCTTGCTGTTCATGCAGTTGTTATTTTTGTTATTACTGATGTGATTCTAATGAGGTGTTCTGCTACTTCTTGATGTGCCTGGGGGGGGAATCATAATCAAGTGAGAGTTGAGAGGAAACAGGCAGGACCACTAAGAAATTTTTTTTTATGCCCTACAGCAAGGTTGTGTGTGTGCAACGCCTTTGTTGGGGAGGTGTTGAGTTGCGAAATTGGAGAAGAGGGAGGTAGCATATTGTTGAGGTAGGATAAGGAGGACAGTAGATATCTGACTCAGCCTGAAGAAGGCAGAAATATAATGGGAGGAAAAAGAATACAAGAAGTGACGTGACTCTGAGATGTAGAAGACTGACAAATAATTCAGGCTTGCTTTAGCCTATTTTTTTCATTAAAGGCTTCCGCCTGGAAGCTGATTAAGTGCTAATAAATGCTTGCTTTCTTATTCATTTTGCCTTCATTTTAATATGGCTTGATGCTGCTTCTATATTTCATGCTTTACTTTACAAGTTTTACACTCTCTGGCAAAAACATCAGCATTAAATAAACGTATTTTAAGGCACCATCAACAGATCACCCTGCTCTGTACAGAGACCTATTGCGGACAAACCGAGTGCACTGGATAGCAGAGGAACCTCCTGCAGAGCTCGTTAGAGATAAAATGATGGAATGTCATTTCAGGTTTCGGCACCAGATGGCACTGGGTAATCAAACCTTGTTTTGTTTTTTGTTTTACTCGGTTTGTGAAACACTGTGGTAGTGTGTTCAGTGTAGTTTTGCAGAAATAGTTGAAAAGTGTTGGCTTGCCTTTCTGTTTCTGTAGTGTCTTTATAAAACAATCCTTGACTTACATCTGTTTAATCTAGCGATGAAGGTTTTTCTTTTTTTAATGTGAACATAAGGATTAACTGTCGGGTGTTTGGCCGTTTTCTGCTCTAGTGCCTTGTGTGCTGACTCTAAACCAAGATGGGAGTGTGTGGGTGACGCTAGTGAAGCCAGCAAGAGCTATCACACCTGGGCAGGTAAGTTATTAGAAGTGATTTTCTTTCCTTTTTTGTGTTTTGGCTTATCTGGCTAATAAAACGGAGTAGTGTTTTTATTAGCTGGAGCAAAATAGTTAATTCATTTGCATGTGAGAGCAGTTAGCTCTATTTTTGACTATGCATCAACTATTTTGAAGGAGATTGTTTCTAGCTTTAAATGGTCTGCTGTTATCCATATAGTCTGAGAAGTTGGCTTACAAGTTTTAGAAATACATGAAAACGTCTCTGGTAATCAATTGTATATGCAGAAATGGAATCTGTTATTGTCTTCAAGAAATAGATTTTAAAAGGTGTTAGTTTGGTAACTGGCTGCTTAATATGGTTTTAGCGTTCAAATTTGTTCAGTGAGGATCAGTGTCCAGTGAATTTCCTTGTCCCAGGACAGTACTGAGAAGAGGTACTGTGTAGTGATGCTTTTTAACACTGCTAATATAAAGATACTCCATCACATCGTAAACCAGTGGTTCTCAAACATTTTCTGCATGCCCTCTCCCAGCATATGTTCTACTCTCCCTCTCCAAAACTTGGGGGCCCGTGGGACACATCAGGAGGGAAATTGTCTGAGAATTATTTGTAATGGAGAGAGGGATACACTTAAGAGAAGTGAGCTGAGCTGAGAAGACTTCAGCCAGAGATGATGATAGGCATGAGAAGCCCCTGACTGCCCAGAGCTGCTGAGCCTGTAACCGGGCTCTTTACTGCAAGGTAATGAGACAAGGCCAGGAGGTCCGTGCTCCTCTTCTCCTGCAAGAACCTGCTGAGCACGTTGGGGAGCTCCAGTTGCTTCCTTCCAGATGGTCTGCTCCAGTAGTCCTTGGTCCCCTTCCTATTTTGAGAAGTGCCACTGTAGCCTGGACACAGTTGTCTGGGGAAGGTCCAGTGAAGATGGACATGATGCTATGTATGTTGTCCCCTTGGGAAAGGAAACTTCCCAGCACAATCCATTCCACCTCAGCAACTGAAGAGTTTTGAAATAATCTTGTAGAAGTTCATGATGGAATTTCCACCAACATGTTTATATTTACACTCATGTGAGCCAACAAATCCTTTGTGGTTTTTTGTTTTGTTTTGTTTTGTTTTTTTAAGATTTGGTCAGAACAAATATAAATGAATAGACTCACTGTCTAGCAGGTCTTGCACAGCCTGCAGTTGCTCACCATGCTGTTTGCGGCTGCTGAAGAGACTCTCCCTGTGTTTATGTCCTAGTTTGCCGTGTTCTACAAGGGTGACGAGTGTTTGGGCAGTGGGAAGATCCTAAGGATGGGCCCATCGGTGTATACCATGCAGCAGGGCAAAAACCGACAGGAGGGTCCAAAGAAGGAAGAGATTGACAAGATAGAACCAGCAACGTAACACATGGGTTTGTTTATTGAAGGACTTTGGAGAATTTGCTGCCTGTGAATAATAAAAACAATAATAAACATATTTTTTGTTGATCTGTATGTTCTAAAGGTCAGTTGAGCATCGAGCCCCAGCTCTTGACTGCTAGCACTGAACAGGTTTAAAACTATAGCCAGTTTGGTACAATTTTACTGGACTGGATAGTGATATTTATGTTAATACATATCAAGGGATGTCTTACAGTTGTTCTGTAATAGTAGTTACACATACAAGAATTTTAATATAAAAATCATGTCTGAAATCATAAATCTATCTTTTATGCGTAAGTGAAATACTTTTTTTTTTTCTTACGTGAAGATACCTGTCCCTAGGTAAAGTACATATGTTGTTTTACAGTAAATGTATGTTTGTGCTTTGAACTCTGGAAAAGGAATGAATGATATTTAAGTTCAGCATTTTGAATGAACTCCAAGCAACAGATATTTATTTTTCATTTTATATAGTTTTATAAGAAATGCTTTGGATTCTTAAGCTGTATTAAGTAGTGGTTTCAGACGTTTACGTAATTCAGAATTACAAATCTAGGGGCTTAAAAACAGTCTTGATTGTTAAATTTTTTCACAGAACTGACTAATTTTTTATTAACTGCTGAGGGCAGAGGCTGTTTGGTTTGTCTCCTGGAGAAGAGAATGCATTGTTGTGCTTCAGAAAAATGCACATTCATATGCATTTCCGTATTATGTAGCTAATTTAATATAGACCCAATAATAATTTGATCTTGCCATGTGTCAAAATGGAGTGGTATTAGGAAGAGCTGAATAGCCCTGTCCAAATTATCTATGTTTATAAGGATTGGGTGCATATTGAGGACACCCTAAGCTTGTAATAAAACTTTATTACAGCAAGTCAACAAAAATGAATTCCTGTCTTTTCAACATGGTAGTAGAAGGTAACTGTCCCTAAAGTACAGCTGTGCAGGAGCAGGACTTTCCAGATGGGTGTCGAATTTTGAGATTTGCATCCAATTTGGGTGGGAGCAAAGCTGTACCATGAATAGATCTTTTCAGGAGATACGAAGGCTTGGATTACGTGTACATCCTTTTCTGTTGTCTTAGTGTCTTCTAAGAATTCCTTTTATTTATTCTGGTAAGAAAAGTAAAAGGTAGTCTCTTTTCTTCAAAGTGTGGAAGTAAAAAGGGGAGAAGACACTCTTCAGTGTCTACCTGCTAGTCTGGTAAAGTTAAACACACAGTTCAGGGAGCCCTATGGAAAAAAGCTAGACTGTTAAAATCTTACGTATTTGATATTACAGCAGATCTGCTTGAGAGGGGAAAAAAGCCATCCTTTTTCACTGGTGCCAAAATCAATTCAATTTAAAAGTCTGTCTTCAGAGTGCCTATCCATGCCCAGATTAACTGTAAAGACTATTCATGCTTCACATCAACTCCTGATTTGTGTTAGGTTAGTTGTGTTTTGGGTCCTGGTCATGACTTTCATGTGGTTTTCCTAATGTTTTCCTTATCTTTCCTGAAACTTTTGTCTTTGCAAAATGTGGAATTAATTACTAAGGAGTTAATGCTCCATGTTGTCCTCATCTGAGTTATCTAGTAAATGTCCCAATTAAAATATTCATAAATGTTTTGTGTTATACAAGTGTGTTTTTTATTATTACTTCATCTCTCAACACTCTCAGGTATGTTTGTTGTTTGATACTGTACTGGTAGAGGTAGATTTGACTGTGAGGACATGAAAAAGGACATAGCCATTTCTGTGTCTCCAAAATTCACTTTCTTTTAAAATTCACAGAATTGCAGAGGTTGGCAAGGACCTCTGGAGATCATCTAGTCCAACTCCACTGCTCAAAGCAGGGGCAACTAGAGCAGGTTGCTCAGGGCCGCGTTGTCAGGTTTTGAATATCTCCAAGGATGGAGACTCCACAACCTGCACCGATAAGATCCCCCCGAGCCTTCTCTTCTCAAGGCTAAACAGCCCCAGCTCTCTCAGCTTCTCCTTGTATGATGGATGCTCCAGTCCCCCCATATCGGCTCTTCAGTGTCAGGAAGTTGTCAGTGCTCCAGAGACCTCGTGGACTGCTTGTGCCTTTCAGGGTTGTCCCTCCAGCAGGTATCAGAGTGGTTTAAGTCCTCTGTGAGGACCAGGGCCTGCAAACATGAGGCTTCTTCCAGTTGTCTTTCTTCCTGATCACACAGTGTAGCAGACACCTACAGCAATGTCACCCATGTAGGTCACCCCTCTGATCCTAACCCACATGCTGTCAGCTGGCTTGTCCACCACCAGGCAGAGCTCTATGCTGTCTTGCTGCTCCCTCACATCCATGATGACTTCCTTGCCTCCCCTTCCGAGCCCATTCTTCTTGGAGATCCCGTACCCATCCGTGGTCCCACCATGTCTTTGTGATCCCAATGCGATCGACCCGTGCAACTGCACATAGACCTCTAACTCCTCTTGCGTGTTCCGCATGCTGCATGTGTGGTGTACGGACACTTCTGAGGGGCATCTAGAGAGGCCCTTCTGCTTGTTCTGTTGTTTTCAGGGTCTCTCCTGCCTGGATCACCCTGTTGCCTTAGCTTGCCAACCCAGTCCACCACTGGGTCTCCCTGTGCCATCATGGATCAAAGTGCCTGGTGAGCAGCAAACCTCCCTAGACACCAGGTCAGGTCAGCAGCTGGAGCTTCTGTCCCCTGTGGCAGGGAGTGTCCCGCTGCTGTCACTCTGTCCCTTCTTCATACAGTGGCGGGCTTGGGCTCTCAAAGCTGCAGGGTTTCAGGGAAGATCCAATTAATCTCTCCCTCGTCACCTCTGACATGGCCGAGGCTGCTGGCCTCCTGCCACGGCTCCTGGTGAATCAGACCTTCCACCAGTGCCCACCTCCTGCAGGCCAGGAGCCCAGCTCTGCCAGGCCTGGGGGGCTGCACCCTCCCTCAGGAGCTTGGTCTGAGTTAAGGTCACTGTTAACATTTCCTCATTCTTCAAAAGAATGCGAGTTACTGGTTTTTAAAGTCCTAAAGTTGCTGAGTAGATACTGTTGTGGTTGCCACCACCTGGAAATGAAAGTCAGATCTTCAGAGTTGGTAAATGACTGCAGAACCAGTGATAGCCCCAGCTGGTAATTTTGTCTAGCTTAAAGCTCTGTTTGACACTAGTAGTTTCCAACCATTAACATTTCTCTTGTATAATGAGTCCTTATCTCCTTTTAACTTTCATGTTTCTACCAGACAGTGTTTCCTTTCCTATGTGCCTCCAAGGATTTAAATGCGTACGTTCTTTTGGCTCTAAAACTCCAAAATTTAGCTGTTGTATAGCCACCTGTGATCCCTGGACTTATTAAAGTGTCCACGAGGTAAGTTCTCAGAGCTGCCTAAAAACGTCTGTTTCTGGGCCTGCCCAAACCCACTGAAATCATATCAGCTTGGGGACACTGAGGTACCGAACTCTGCTTGGAGCTCAGGTTGAAGGAACCAAGATCCACACAACCGGTTCCCATCATCCTGGTTTTAAACTCACTTGCTCTTAGACAGTCTTTTGAACCCGGTCCGAAAAAGTTTTCTAGGCAAAAAACAGCATGATAAATTTGAATAGGCTTTGCAAATACTTTCAGAACAACAAAAAAATCCCACAATAATTTTGATAAATTTGCTATTTTTTTGCAAGAAAATGTTCATCCTGCCCTATAGGCTTAGTAGTTACTTGTGGTTTCCTGGGTGTGAGCATCGCTTCAGGGATGGGTGGAGCTGCTGGGTGGTTTGAGCTCTGCTTTACCGCCTGCGTAAAGTGTTGCTGGCTGCGAGCACAATGAGAAAGCACCTAACTCCAGGGGATGGCTCATTCAATCAGGGGGACGTGTTTCCCCACGGCCTGAATGTGTTTCCTTTCGAGACAAAAGGACTTTTTTCACCCTTCCTTAGCTTTTTTTTTTTTTTTTTTTTTTTTAATCTCTATCAGGTGAGCTCGCTTTTTATAAATCCCATTCTGAGGACAGATTCTCCTAGTGCATTATCCCTGGGAAGGCTTTGCTGCTGGATTGCTGGTATGATGCCAGGCGCGTCCCGAGCCCAGGGGACTCAGGGTGCTCACTTGGCTAAGGCACAGGCGGTGCAGAAGTCGTAAGTGCTTTTGACATCATTATGGTGAATTTAAGAGTTCTGGCAACGAGATCCTGGGTTTGCTGGGAGCCACTGAGCCAGTGCCTCACAGCAGGAGAGTTTGCCAATGCTGCTTGTAGCGTAGCTGGCATGGGGTATAACGAGGATCTGCTACAGCTCCTGTAGGGTGGGGGCTTTTTAACAAATGCTCTGCTTCCCTCTTTTTCTTTAAGCATTCTTAAAATTGGATACAGCAGCAATCCAGGATGGCTAACGCAGAAAATTCATAAGCTAACATGCTTCTTTTTGGTGGAAACCTCTCTAGCAATGGTCTCAATTCATTTTTGAGGCTCAGGGACTTTGATTTTATCATCAGAGCTGAACCTCATGGTTCTACTGAAGAAAACTCATCTGAGGAAGAGGTGGGTACAGACGGTGTTTGGTTAGTAGAGACTCATTGTCTGAGAACGTTGGAGGCTTCTTCTCAGCTTCAGTGCAGCTCAGCCTCTTGCTGTGATGATGAGCAAAGACCTTTGACATGATAAAGCAATTGCTGCTATTGCTCACGGTGAATGTCACTGTACTGCCGAGGGCTAAGAATTAGTAGGCGTTTGTGAAATTCAAATTGCAAATAGCTTCTTGCATGGGATGCTTTACGACAGGTTGCACACGTCTAGCAACATGAAGCTTGCACGTTTAAAACAGCATTTCCAAATTGCTTGTACTGTTCATAAGGGGTGGTACGTTGCTCTTTCCATCCCATGCGTTTCTCCTGGGTAAGGGTCTTAACTACTGACCTCCTGCGTGAGATCCTTTCTCCTCTCATATGTAGGGTCTCTGGCAAGGGGAATTTTATTCTGTTCTGCACAGGGACACAGCTGCTCAGGGGAGTCTGGCAGAGCAGCCATTCCTACTACTGGATCTGGTTGTTACATGCAAGATGAGCAGCACCATCACTGTTTCTGACTGCGTTTCTAAAGAGGACCGTGGTTTCAGTAACACCAGTCCTGCCCAGCCAGCGCGCGGTAGGGTTGAGTTGCGAGCGGTGCCTGAATCCCATGCTCCAGCCTGCCCCGAGGCTTGCAGCCCAGCCCGGACCATAGCGAAACGGCTGTGAAAATGCACAGGGGCACAGCTGTAATAGCTTGGCTTGGAAACAGGGAGGTAAAAGGGCGAGGTGAGAGCGGACGTCGGTGCCCGGGGTCAGGCAGCCATGCTCCCCACAAGGGACCATCACTGACCACCATGTCTCACGCAGCCTTTGCCAAGGCTGGAATTTGGCCAAGGTTTGGCTTGAATTGGGTAAGAGCAGTTTGACTGGCAGGTGGATTTTCTTTTTTTCTCTACTGCAGAAGATTAGCATCGACATGCTTTTTAAAATTCATTGGCTTTTCACTTTTTTGTCATTTTTCTCCCGCTTTGGGCAACAAATTGCAAGCAGGTGATTTCACTTTCAAGTTGTCATTAAGCTTTTCAGGTCTTGAAATATTTGATTTCAAAGACTCAAGTGAATAACTATTTAAAAAAAGGACTTTTCTCTTCCAAAGTAGGGAACATGATAACAAGATTTGGATCATGTAAGTGAAAAACTACAAATCGTGTCAGCTAAAGGCTGGGACTGAATTGAAATCTCTGTTGTACCTTGTGAATATGTTTGAAACCTGTGCTTCTGAGTATATAATGGCTGAAAAATTGCACTCCAAGTGCAGTTTTATTCCAAAAGTGCTGTGTAAAACCTGTCTTAATCGCTCTCCTGGTTTCATTCCTTCTTGGCAGTGTTCCTGCCCCAGCTGGTCCTGCAGAACTGGAGGACAGGGCTGTCCCCCATGCAAGGAGAGCAGGGTTGTCCTCCGATTCTGTTTTCACCTGGATAGCTGCTTTGGAGAGGTGAGATGTCACACAGGCGTTGTAAGGGCTTCATTCACACTGCGGCAGCTCAGTATTTACGGTCCAGCAGTAAAAGCATTGGCTCTTAGTGTTTGTGTTGGCTTGTAGGACTGAAAGAAGCTTTCATCCTCTCACTTCAAAATTAAGTGTTCACGTGCTTTCTCTCTTTAGCTGCAAGCCATGGGGAACAAAGCTGACATGTTTTTATTAATCTTTTTTTTTTCCTTTTTAGAATAGATCTATCTTTTCACCATACTTAAAAGCCAAAAATAACAATTTTTTGGATGCAACATTTAAGTTCGTACACTGTCCTGGTTTCAGCTGGGATAGAGTTAATTTCCTTCCTAGTAGCTGGTACAGTGCTGTGTTTTGGATTTAGGATGAGAACAATGTTGATAACACACCGATGTTTTAGTTGTTGCTGAGCAGTGCTTACACTAGTCAAGGACTTTTCAGCTTCCCATGCTCTACCGACTGAGAAGGCTGGAGGGGCACAAGAAGCTGGGAGGGGGCACAGCCA